ACTTGCATGATGGAAAGAGTTATTGATGGACAGGCACGGGTATTAATATCACTCTCAAAAACTCAAAAACTCACTAGCATCTGTAGTTTACTTAAAATCCATAGACGGTTATTCAGAACTTTGTCGGTAGATGGCAGTGTTGTGTCTAAAAGCATTGTGATACTAATGAATGCCTCTTTAAGGAGCTATGTGTTATTGTCATGCTTAGATTCATTAAGATAACTTAAGCAAAAATAAAAAAAAAAGCTTCTCAAGAGACTGAACCCACTGATCCACCTTGGCATGTCTGAGACAGTCTGAAGGAAAACAAACAAGAGGCCTAAGATCCTTTGGTTTACAGCCTTTATCTATTATAACAGATGCCAATCAATAAATGTAGATTTCCTCTCAAGAAGTGACTTTGCCATTTTGGGGTTTACCCTGAGTAGGTATGAAACTAGGTATGAATCGCCAAGTCCAAGATTTTCAACTGTGAATTAGATGCCTGAAAAGATTGTGTGTTTGTGGTGCAAACGATTTCGCTTACATGCTTTGCCAAGTCTGAAAATGTTTAAATGTGCTGTCCTTTCCAAATCTTGCGACCTCCATGTGCTGTTTTGATATCAGTAGATAAAAGAGAATGAAATCATGAAAGGATGTGGCTTGCGTGTGCACTTGAACACGGTTAACCTCTGCTTTGACGTCTCAAACACACAAATCGTGTCAGTGTGAGCATGTTTTATGATGACACATTAGTACACGCACATCACCAGTAAAATGTAACTTGCGAATGCTCGAGTAGTGGCAGATTTACGGCCATTATAAGCATCTTTAACAGCACGCTCTCATGGCAATTTTGTAATTATTTTATGTTTGGTGAATTGGTGGTGAATTCATATGAATTTTCATACAATCTGCATGTGCCCAAATGTGGATTAGGATTGTAACCCAAATGTGAAGCTGGGTTGGACCATTATGCAGTTGTACAAATTCATACATGTTTGCCACAAATTTATGTAATAGTTTATGAAACAGCGTTTTCTCACGAGATTGGGATGTCTTTAAATCTGCTTTGAGTTTAAGTAGAAGTAAAACAGGGATCCCAAAACACTTTTGTCTTCTCAGCATACCCTTTCTTTTTGTTTTTTTTTTTTACCCCACACACACACACACACACACACACACACACACACACACACAGGTTTGTTTTTATGGTTTATGGGGACTCTCCATAGGCGTAATGGTTTTTATACTGTACAGACCGTATTTTCTATTGCTCTACATCAACCCTACCCCTAAACCTACCCCTCACAGGAAACTTTCTGCAAGGTTTACTATCTTTGTGGGGACTCTCCATAGGCGTAATGATTTTTATACTGTACAAACTGTATATTCTATAGCCCTACACCTAAACCTACCCCTCACAGACAACTTTATGCATTTTTACATTCTCAAAAATACTCATTCTATATGATTATAAGCTTGTTTCCCCACCAGGATATAAAAACAAGGTCACACACAAGTCAAGTCAAGTCACCTTTATTTATATAGCGCTTTTACAACTAAGCAAGCCAGAGGTGACAGCGGCAAGGAACCAAAACTCCATCAGTGACAGAATGGAGGAAAAAACGTTGGGAGATACCTGGCTCAGTCGGGGGGCCAGTTCTCCTCTGGCCAGACGAATCAGGAGTTTGTTCCATGCTGCAGCAAAATCAGATTGTGCAGAGGACTCAACTGGTTCCTGTGGTCTTGTCCTGATTGCCATCCAGGTGACGAGGTCTTCACTGGGGATCTGTGTCTGGGGCTCATCTACTGTAGTTGTTCTGGTCTCCGCTGACATTCAGGGCTGTAGAGGTCATCTCTAAGTGCTGATCCACCATACTGATGTAACAAGTACAATGGGTGTTATGGGAAGTGTTCCCGGTTCCGGTTGACCTAATTAATGCAGCCTAACAATCCTTAACACACATACACATGCAGAAAGTAATTGCTGACTAATCAAAAAACTTATTGGCTTCTCTCAGCCAATGGAGTGAGTTTTGGACGGGCTAACTGTTAGTAGCAGAAGAGGGAGTGTCCTGTTTAGAAACAATTAATTTTGCAGTTTGGTGGTGCTAATGATTACCTTTACTTTATGAATGTATGTTCTACTGTGTAAAATGTGACTGCTGTCTCAGCTTCTGAGGCTTTAGCTTTATATTAATCACACATCAATTTCTCTAAAATCTTTGGTGTAGCCTAGGCGTTAAACATCTGGTAAGGTCATAAAAAGATTATGGGTTCAGCTGATGAGTAAACTATGAATAATCAGCATAGAGTCACTGTGAAAGGCCCTTGGAGAAAGGCACCAGAGGAATTGCTTCGGTAAGTAAATGAACTGTAATTCAATGAATTTGCTACATGACCAGAATTCTGACACAGAGCGCTTAGTTAAGCTAAGTTAACGCACACAACAA